TATATACACACACACACATTTAAGGTGACACTTTATTTTATGGTGTCCTTGTTACACGTTACATGTACTTACTTAAATGAACTTAAATTATAAATAATTACACGCAAGTAACCCTAAACCAAACCCTAATCCTAATTGTATAATTACACTGTAAAAAGGACACCTTAAAATAAAGTGTAACCACATTTAAAAATGAGATCTGTAAATTGCTCATGTAACACAATATTGACCCAAAACACCCAAAAGAAATTGCTTTAAAAAGGAAATTGAGTTTTGTAATGACCAAATCCAATCTAAACCTGTATGGCATGATGAGCGACTGGACTTATAAGCCTGAAGAACATTCTCAAACATACTGAGGGAGTCCTAAAAGGCAAAAACTCAAATCAATGCTGAAGGTTGATATGAAAAAAAAACTTTCCTACACCACTGTAAACTGGCCTTACCACATTGTCAGAGCATATTCATGTCAACCAGTCACAACCTGACAACATCTACCCTATACCTATAGATCCTCAGTTCATAAGAGTGCTCATGTGTCAGAAGACATATTTCAGAATCTGTGCAGCAACTTGTAAAAGACCCTTTGCCCTTTTATGGATTTGTGCATGTGAGCATAAGTGTGCACATGTACTCTAAAGAAAGTAACATGAACATGCCCAGGTCATGTTAGTGCACATGTGACATTGTCAACCTGTAGAATTATTTATATAGTTGTGATGCTTAAACTGTGACAACTAAGGCTTTACCTGTGCACATGTGTGCCATACACAGTGTCAAGATGTCAAGGGCTTTGCTGGACTACGTATTCTGCACTTCAGTGGCATAACAGATTACAATCTCTAACACAGTCCCTTTTTTAAACTTAATAAAAGTCCCAGTCTGAAATAACAATTGTATGTGAACTACAGTGATAAAAGGAGTTTTCTCCTATGGGAAATTCAAGCTCTACCTAATCATTTTAGTAGAGAGAAAGAGGGTGAGGTGTGTGTGTGTGTGTATGAATATGCGTTTATTTGCTTCATCTAATACAACAGTAGTGCTGAGTTTTTTGGAAACAGCATCTCCCAAAAAAAGTACGGAGCCAGAGCATTCCCTTGTGGTGCTAAATAAGAACTTCAGCTAAAACTTTTTTAAAAGCAGTGGCCTGGATTTACACTGTGGAACACTGGAAGTTACTCAACTGCTCAAAAAACATTTTATTGTTGTTTTTTTTCCCTTTATCTTTTCATGTTTTTGCATATTTTACAATTAGGACTGTCATCCTTAATTTTTTTCTTCTGAACCACATACACACAACAGCAACATTTTGATCTCAGATTTGTCTGAATAAATTATATCCCATTCATGATTACTTTATCATTATACTTTTATCTTTTAATTAAGACTCTCAAGACTCCCATACAATTAACTCAGGTAAACAGAAACTTAATGGTTGTTTAATAACTAGATGCCTATTTTGGCACATGTACATTTTCTGAAATTAGAATGTACAAAATAAACTAATTATGAAACAAGCATGTTATGAACTTACCTGTTTCCAAAGCCTGCAATAATTCTGGGGATCCAGTGGAGGTCTGGCCAGACCGGTACAGTGGCTCATTCTCCCAGTCTTGAGCACAGGACAGAGGTCAAATATCAGGTCTATAATCTGATGAGTTATCATGCTAACCAAAACCATTTAGTAAATTTAACTGTTGGAGAGATAAGGTACATTTAAACCCCGTACAAAAGGTACTGTGGTGGTACAATGGTAAAGTAATGGTATTAGATGGCAAAAACATTGCATTTTGATATATACACTACCTTCCAAAAGTTTGAGGTCAGCTCAATTCAGCTTTATCATTACATGAATAAACTGCATTTTAAAATATCTCAAAATAGAAAATGAAAATGGTTATTTTAAATTGTAATAACGTTTCACAATATAATTATTCTTTCATTTTTTACTGTATTTTTGATCAAATAAATGCAGCCTTGATGAGACCAAACCCAAACTTTTGAATGACATTATCATTATTACCATGCTACAATAGAACCTTTCATATTTAATTAACTGATTGTAGAGATGAGTTTTTTTCTACTTGCAAAAATAAATATATTTATGATGAAGGAAATATACAATTGCGCACTCATAATATAATTAATAGAATTTGTCAGTAACATCATAGGTCACCAATGTAAATGCTAGACTGGTGTCTGACTCTCTCTGAATAGTTAAATTAGATAGGTGAGGCAGAAGAGCAAACTCACCCAGCCTCTCTAGAGCCTCCGACAGCCTGAGCACCACGGCTGGGGTCTGGTCAGGCAGAGCGCACTGCTCCACAACATCTCCCTTTCCACAGGGGCCTGTCAGAGAAGGAGGGATAGAGAGAGAGAGAGATGATGATGATGAGAAATCCCACTGGTGAGACCAAATTCCCTGATTAGGTGGCTGCCTGTAAACCCACATCTCATCTCTCCCTAGGGAACAGTCAGGTTGTCATATTCACACAAGCATGGTAGATATGCAACATAATACTCAAGTCTCAACTCGCACACATTTAGGTTAATGCAATAGTTCACATAACCTCTAAAAGCCAGAATTAATCTAGTTTATTTTAATTTTTACAAATACTAACACATTTTGCCATTTAAAGTTACATTTAAGCATGCATTTAGTACAACATTAGTTATTATGAGCTAATGTAAACTAAAAATTACCAGTAATATACAGTGGGAATATGGGGTGCTGTGTGTACATTAATGAGGAAAAAAATTAACTTAAATGATTTTAGCAAATGGCTGCAATATAACAAAGAGTGAAAAATTTAAGGGGGTCTGAATACTTTCCGTACCCACTGTATATATATAAATCAACATTAAAGGGACAGTCCACTCAAAAATTTAAATTCTGTCATCATTTACTCACCCTCATGTCATTCCAAACCTTTCTTTCTTCTGTGGGATGCAATGAAGATATTTTGAAGAATGTTGGTAACTAAACAGTTTAGATTCCCATTGACTTCCATTGTATGGACAAAAAATACAATGGCAGTCAATGGGAATCTAAACTGTTTAGTTACCAGCATTCTTCAAAATATCCTCTTTGTGGCCCACAGGAGAAAGAAAGTCATACAGGTTTGGAATTACATAAGTAAATGATAGAATTTTCATTATTGGGTGGACTATCCCTTTAAATGCCACAAATTATAAACATTTCATCCAAATGGGTTTTTAAAATTCAGTATATGATATGTCCTCCAGGTATGTCCTCCAGCAGAATGAAATACAGTGCATAATTTTTCATAAGCATTATTGTCTCGACCCATCTCCACTGTCCTTCCACTGAGCACTGACCTTCTGCTGAGGTTCCAGTTGGGGAGTGTGTCCATATATCTCTACATGTGGGCACTTATATGCATTCAGACCACCACGGATAAAATCCTTGAGGGGGTCTGATTTTTAGTATTGACATTTAGTAATGTCAATGACACAATGTCCATTTGTGTGAAAGAGAAACACGGCAGCATCCTTCACATGACACCCTGTCTATGTTGTCCTGGGACACTGAGAATGTCACACATGACCAGAGAGCATGGTGAAGAGTGGAAACATAGCAGACTGTGCATTAAAAGACTATTAGCCCTTAGAACAAAATAAATATGGAATTTGTCAAATATTATTGAAAAACTGATATTTAAAGGTTTCACTTTACAATAAGGTACAGCTGTAAACGCATTAGGTACCATGAACTAACCATAAAAGCATTTATTAATCTAGGTTAAAGTTTATTCATAAATATACTGTTGTTCATGCTGGTTACTCATGTTTGTTCATAATACATTAATGTTAATTTATACTACTTATTATATTAAAATTTTTTGTATATGCAGAATTAATAAATGTTGTAACTGAAACTTACTGTAAAGTCTAACCTCTTAAAAAGTTTAAGGTGAGGGTGACAAACAAATGTTGTGAAATTTAAAAGTTTGCTAACTAAGAAAACATGATGAAGTGTTCCTTTCACACATGCAAATAAAGTCTAAAGGTCATATCACAGTAGCATCACCCACGTAACTACATGGAATAAACATGATTTCATCTTGTGCCCAGATATTACTATTACTACAAAAAAATAAAAATAAACATTAACTTTTCATTTAAGTTACTACATAGCAAACTCAGAGCGGGATTTTCTTTTCTCTCTAAACAGGAAACTTTACTGACATTTACAAACATTGTTAAACTCATTTATATCAGTATGTGGTTCCATTTACATCAAATTTGCGTTATAGCGAGAAATTCGAATTTTCTGCACCATTATGTGAAGCATGAGGTTTAGTGTTGTATACAGGCTCTTGTGAGTTATCTTCAGTGACAACACTAATTAGCACTGATGTGCACCACCCGCTAATGTCTACACAGATACCAATGCTATCTCTCGTTTTCTCTTTCTGTAATTAGGAAATGGCTGTTTATTTAAGAGAATCTCACACACAATCATCTGTTGACAGCAGGAAAAGTTTGCGTTCCCATGCACGGGTGTAATTGGTGCGCTAATCTGCATAGCAGTGGCCCTTGTTGCACCCCGCTGTAATTTTCACACGGGAGAATCACACTACAAGGTGGCAATACTTTCTGGACTGTGCTGATTTAGGTTTTGTTTGTCAAAGAACCATGATAAATGTTTAGTTGAAGTGTCAATTAGATCTGACAGTTTCAATCTAACCGGAAGCACCAGCATTTGCAGTACAGGAACTGATTAGACCCATCATTACTTTTGACTTACCATATGCAAATGTATAAGTTGCTGTGATCCTTTAGAAGTAATATAGATGAAGCTACAGGAAACAGGAAAGGGGGAGATGACAGTGATTAAAAAAAACAAAAACAGAAAGATTAATGAAAAGTTCCTCTGAGGCTTTGATGCAGGTGGCACAAAGACGGTTGAGGTTTGAGATTACACATGTTAACGGCGGAGCGCGTTGGTATTCCAACAGCACACGGTGCATTTAATTGCTCCACCTCCTGCTGGTTTCTCTATGGACCTCGACAAGCGACGCCTTATGAATGAGCAAACAGGTCAGAGCACGATAGGAGGAATCATAATTCTCTCTCTCTCTCTCTCTCTCTCACACACACACACACTTTCTCTTTCTCTCCCTTGTTCCTTTTGTTTTGGAAGCCTCACATTTCTTAATTGTTGGCCAGCCAAGATTTATAAGACAGGAGATTAATGTGGAGCTGTGTGCAAACTATATCTTTCATTATAGAGAAACTAAAGATGTAGGAGTGGCATTTTTACTTAGATGGCTAGTTGATTAATTATATGCAGGAAGTATGTGAACCCTTTATAATGGATTTCTATAGAAATTAGCCATAAAATTTGATCTGATCTTTATGAATAAGAGACAAACAATAATACATTTTGTCTTAATTGATTACAACAGTGGAGGGTGGAAAAAGCATGTGAATAAATGTGATTTGTTTAAGCAGATTATGTTTGTCTATTGATGTAAGCAAGATCAAATTTTGTGACCAATTCATGCATGTGTTAACTCCATTTGTTTCCTGTCACTGTATTATATAAACAATTGCCACAACACGCTCAATGCATGAGGCATCGGGAAATAATTTCAGACATCTGACTTGGTATTTTCCGATTGTTTTTTTTGTTTTTTTCATGTCCTTCAAATGTCAAAACTCTGCCCTTCGATTTGCACCATCGTGAACTTGTGTTTACATTTCTGGCACCACACATGTGCGCGAGGACTTTCACGTTTATATGTGTGCGTGAAAGCAGTCACAGGTTGTTTGGCTTTGTGTAGAAGGCAGTGGGCAAATTTCCTTTCAATTGGAGTGCTACTATGCGTTTGGTGCTTCGATTAACGTCACTGTCAGAAAACATCACTGAGGCAATTTCTCAAAACGTGAGGCACAAGCTGATGGGTGAGGAACAGCAAAGAACAGAGGAACAAGAGGGAAAGGACAGGGCATGGGAAAAGCAATACTGAGAACAACACCACGGCAACTAATACAACGATGCTGTTGTTTCAATTTACATGCTACTTTCGAGAAATTGTTATTCTGTATGTACGATCCAAGTACTGCTGCATTTCTTCAGAGTCATGTTCAGTAGTCCCTTCTACTGTGAAATCTCATTGGCTCACATATAGGATGCACAATATCACATTGTTTTCTGGCCACTGTCTGAGATTTACAAATTCATCGTTATCATTGATATTATATGATATATGACAACTAATAATATTCAGTAAAAACTAAATGTTATTTAGCAAATTGTTTACACTTTTTATTTTAAATTACACTACTGTTTAAAAGTGTGGGGTTGAAAGAAATTAATACTTTTATTTATCAAGGACACATTCAATTTGTCAAAAGCAACAGGAAAGCATTGATGATAATATTTTTTTTTTTTTCTCGAGCACCAAATCAGCATATTAGAATGATTTCTGAAGGATCAAGTGACACTGAAGACCGGAGAAATGGCTGCTAAAAAAAAAACGTCAGTGTTGTCATCACAGAAATAAAAATACAAATTATTTTAAATTGTAATAATATTTCACAATATTTCTGTTTTTGCTGTATTTTTGATCAAATAAATGCAGCCCAAGTGAGAACAAGGGACTTTTTTCATAAAACAAAAAATTATTCACAAAATTCACTTATTTTTCAATTATTTAGACAAACTTTTTATAGAATTTATATTATTGGCATTTATAAGTTATTGGCCATTATTTGAAAATAATTATCGTATTTATTGTAATTAATACTAATTATCAGCTTACTGTATCAGACAGAATTCCTACGCATGGATGGATGCACCAATATACACACAGTAAATGAAACATCAATCACCTTCTGATTGGCTGTTTGTGTCATGTCATGCAGCAGATTCACACTCAGAGCAAACAAACGAACTGCTTGTCGCTGGAGGCTTGTCACATTGTGCCCGCTGTTACATATTTGCAAGCACTTTTCCAGGTGCTTTGCAGTTCAAACACATGCTAATTAGCTTGCAGGTTAACTTAAGACAATCAAAAGATCTGCAAAAAAGAAAGGACAAAGCAAACAAAACATGGCACTGTTGGTAAAGGACCGCTAGGGGAATTACATCTCCACTTAATATCTATTGTTGATCCCATTAGTGGCATTTATGAGTGTAAAGCACGAGACTATGTTAAACTGTGAGGGTGTCGCTGTCACTGTACAAAGCTTGTGTGTGCCCGTCCTAGCTGCTCTGTGAGAACATACGAGCCTATCAGATCTTATCCGTTTTCTATTAAGAGGACAGAAAGCAATTTCTAGGGGTTTAATTTCCCTGTGTGTGTGTGTGTGTGTGTGTG